ACAGTGCCCAAGCTCTACACTTACATTAATGACTAAAAATAAGTCACTAATAAAGAAATCTCTGAAGATCTGAAAACACACTCGGTGGCAATTTCACTCATATTTTAGGCCCACTAGTGTTGAAAGGTAAGATAACATTGAAGAAACTGTTTACTACACCGTTTATAGAATGTTTGTTGGCGTTTATAGAATGTGTCAGGCAGTATAAGTTAAGAATATAGTATTTGTAACCTACATCCTATGTTTATAAATTAAATGTATGCTCTAGATAGAATTTGTCCATCACTTTATATAAAATCTTTAGTGTATGGTGAGTGGGATTCTCAGTGAAGGCTTAAAAGACATGAGAATAAATATAAGCTAATTCATTTACTGAGTTTGTAAACGTAGAGAAAACTATCAGCATATATTCACTAGATCTATTTGTATAGATCTATACTCAATTCCTACGCGTATCGAACAGATCATCATTTAGAAGACAAAAGAAAATCCCTGCAAAGAATATTCTCCTCATTCAATTCCTTTTCCGGCTCCACAATTATATATATATATATATGTATATATACGGTGAGAGCTGTCTGCAAGACAAAATTGTATACAACAATATGCGTCAGTGTTTACTTCCCGAATTGGAGACAAGAAAAAAGTCTAACTTTGAGGAACTCAACAACCAGTCACAGCAGACTTTGTGTGGGCTGGTATGATTCGCAGATATATGGTCTGACCATCAAAGAAACGACCAAAAAGAGATGACAGAATAACTCTCAGCGAGAAAACAACCCATCAGAAGATGTTGTTTGTCTGGTAATAATAGCGAATAATAATGTACATAAAAATATATAAATAACTATTGATTTTCTCAATAAACGATCTGTTGCATGACTCTTGCCTTCTGTCGTTACACATACATATACAAAATATTTTAGAATAATCGCCATTAACAATATCTAGACAAAGCAATAAGAAGACGTAATTTGCCTGTCTGAATCGTGTAACGTATTATTTGCGTAACACATTTCGAACAATTTGATCACACCCACACGGACTTGTCATAGGAATACACACGTATGAAATTAATAAAGAGTTAAGAGGTGAGAAAATAGACTTAGGTGAAGTTAAAAGGATATATTGAAGGTAAAAATAACAATGAAGATCACTGAACCAGATAACAGAGGTAATAGTACATCTACTCTGGCTGGTATCAAAACAAAGAAATTTACCAAGGAAGGTTTGGTGGGATGATGACGAATTGTTTTTGATGAAAGCATAAAGGTGGTTTAAACTTTCAAATTGCCAGCTAGGGTTTTCACAGACTTTAGGATACACCCTAAACACTTTTTATAGATAGGTTTAAAAGACGTGTCTAAACGCCAATTTTATGTCCTGTTTCTATAATATGTTTCACAATAGAGGAGCTAGGTCGTCGTCTGTTCTCACCATTAACGGGTTCTGGGGATTCTATTTGCTTCTGGAGCCATTCAGGAATATGCTCTGAAGCCAGCCCTTACTTGCAGAGATCGATGAGTCCTCCCTTTATACCTGTGTCCACAAGTACATTCTTTTTGCTCTGTTTGAATTCATAAAGGGAACTAATTGTTTTAAATTAACAATATCGTTTGGCTTTTGAATTATATCATTTTGTAAAGACGATTGAAAATAGAGTTCAAGAAAATTGCATAAGTTATAATAAGCATAAAAATATAATATGAAATAGAATATCAAATAAAATTAAGGAAATCTCTACAACAAGTTATGGATCATTAAAATCTTGGTAGCCAGGGTAAGGACAGTGTCTGAACTAACCACTTTTGGCTACATAAATCAGGCTTCTTAATATGGGTTCTAACAGCTTCAGCAATATGTAATAGCTGAACTATTGGGGTAAAATTAAGCTAATTCGGTATACTGTAGACGACTTTGAATGCCTTGTTAACATCTTTTGTATCCTCGACATGAGATCTGAAAGTTTTGCTACATTTTCATTAATTGTATACCATTATCTGGTGTCATTTTATGCCTCCTATTCTTAATATGGTCATCGTCCTTATGTCCATCTGAAACAATGAAACCCTGTTAGCTTTCACTAACTGGAATTAGTCAGTGAAGTTAACTCCATTGCTTACAGTCTATCAGAAGAATGAAACTATCCCGTCCGAAACTATCTACTGAACCTTCTTGGTATTGAAGTAATACAGATTTATAGTTAATGTGTATTCTTTTTGATGTTATTATATTCTGTGCACTGTGGTAAAGCTTTCACTACAATTCACAGACAATGTCTTCAAGGCTAACTTCAAAATAACTTGAAATCCACTATACTGACCAGTGGTGTCAATTAGACAAAGTCGACTGGTCATTAAACTAATAATGAGAAATAAAATGAATTGTAAGGAAGAGAACTATTTGTTGAAACAGTTTCTTCTCTTATATTTTGCAACATTTTGAGTCGCTGAATATCTGGTCATTACTGGAATGCAATAACATTTATTAAAATGCTATTTAGGTCAACAAAAAGATCTTTTTTATCGTAACATCTCTTCACAGCTTTACAGGTATTTAGACGCTTATACGTATAATGTTGCATAACAGCAGAGTTCAGATGTTATTATTAGTTTGTAACAGATAAATCAGAATGTATAAGAAACAACAATCTAAGAAGAAGAAGAAGAAGAAGTGGATACTCAGTTAGTTAAGTGATGAATAGTTAGAGGATTTCATCATGAGCTGACATCTGTTAGAGGAGAGTCATTGGAAAACCTGCAGGGAAAACTGGACAGCCATCTGTTTCGTCCTAGTTCCTTTAGTCTCTTCAGTGGTACGCACCCAACAACAGGGGTTCGAACCCAGGACCTTCTATTTGCAAGGCGAGTGAGCTCGTAGATCATTAGGCCACTGGGACCCTATCCAAAGGCCAGTCCATATATTCTAACTTCTGCCAATACACGACATAGCGCTATCGCTAGTCAGTGTCTTCGGTCAAACAAACAAATACTAGAATATCGATGAGATGCTTACTGGCGACTGGACATATTCAGCTAGGTAGTTATTATTATTGTTCCCTTGAGTTCCTAGTGGAACACAGGGCTTCAACTGCACGTCTCCACTTGCTTCTGTCTTCTGCTGTACTTTTCACCTGCATCCATGTTAATCCATACTGTTTCAACTCCTCTTCACACGATCTCCTCCATGTCACCCTTGGACGTCCAACTCGCCGCTTCCATTTCACGTTCCATTCGAGCAATGGCCTGACGTTCGATGTCACCCAGCGGCCTCCTCAGCGAGTGTCCAATCCATCTCCACTTTCTCTTGAATATTTGTTGAGCGATTGGTTCTTGTTTTGTTTGTTCCCATAGTCTCTTGTTGGTGATTCTTTCCGGAGGCCATCTGATCTTCAGTATAGAGCCAGCGAAGACAGTTGTTGATAAAGGTCTGCAACAGGCTGTTGGAAATATTCTTTGTGACCCGCCAAGTTTCTGATCCGTACGTATAGAAGAACTGACTGACTTGACGTTTGTATTGAAAATCCGAATTTTGTTGTTGATGCTGAGTGACGAAGATTTCCCCTACCTCTACCTCAAGTTTATAGACTTTGAGAAGGCCTTCGACAGCGCTGACCGAGAAGCAATTCGGAAATTACTCAAGTACTACGGCGTACCCCAAATATTCATCAACCTAGAGCCTAGATTACTAGCTCACTAGTTTTCTAGCCGGTCCCAAGCCCGGATAAAGAGGGAGGGTTGGGGCGTGGTGCTAGCAACTCCACCCCCAAAACTTAACCCAATCGCTAAAGAAACTTCAACGCACAAATATACTGGCTAGGTAGTTAACTGAGTTCTAGTAGGAAGTCGTGACCAGTAGGGGGCAGCAGGTTGAGTGTGAGGACAAATACTCGCCGAAGACATTGGCTGGTGGTTGCACTATGTCGTAAGAAACGTTGGGTCGGGTCTCAGTGAATTAATGGTCTACGAGCTCGCCTCGTAACAAGAGAGTCCTAGGTTCGAACCCCTTTGGTGGGTGCGTACTGTTGAAGAGTCAAAAGTAACTAAGACGAAACATCTGGCTGTCCAGTACTCCCTGCAGGTTTTTCAATGACTCTCCTCTAACCAATGTCAGCTCATGATAAAAATCCTGTAACCAATCAATTAAATCCCTACAAACCAATATTTGAATAGTGATGAATAGTTATTTGGAAACAAGGATACAATAAAATGAAAAAAGATCAAACTTTGAAAACAAAAAGGCTATTTATCCAAATAACACATCACCCAGAAATTGATTTGTTTATTTTTGAGATTTAAAGTTCCAGTAGCAGTGGTGTTAACTGTTTTTTTACGGAGTGAGGTTGCTAGCCTTGAGCCCAATCTTCTGTCTTTACTGGGTGTACTACCGTCTAAGTGAGGTTATTCTAGTATCTGTTGACCGGGAATCGATCTCGAACTGAAACGTCTAAAACTGAAGATAACACTTAAAACCGACTGGCATTCTTAGTACAGTACACCTCCATATGTCTAATAAACTATCCAAGTTACTAGTGAAATGTACAAGGTTAAATATGTATACACAGATCAAAGAAAGAGTCTGTGATCTTAGAAGAACGAAAAAGTAGAATAATTAATTGAATAAATAATTTATTGAATATATATGAGATTTACTCCAAATAAAAATGCTTATTTATAGATGCGCATTATATATGTACGTACATACGTACAGCTTAAATTTGGATTTTGGTAATGCACGCCAACTCTTTCTCCCTATACTAACTAGCTTTTCCCTGCCTCCTTCTCTATCTGTTGTTAGTATGTGTTTGTCCATCTAGTTATTCACCTGTTTGTCTATCTCAGCTCATTGTCCCTTTTTAATGCCAATAGTAATAGATAGTAATAATTAATAGTTTATGTGAATAAATGAATTATTGATATATATAAATATATATTACTCATAACGCGGTCAACCACTAGTAGTATTATAATTTAGATATAGACATACATATTTATACTTACCCGATATTTTGATAGGTCAATCCTTATAGCAATGTATAAATTGTCCAACAGTTTAATAAATTTCTCACGCTAAATTAATTCATAATTTCAAATTAGAAATAGGAGAAAAAACAAACAAAGAAAAACAAATGAAAGCAATTAGTAACACAGCGGATTAAACAGCATCAAACAGAGGTGATGTAGATAACATATATATAGATACATAATCTATTATTCATTCCATGTGTTCCTCTCTCAGTTCTGTAAAATCACTGTCAGTTGGATCCATAACTGCCCAAAGGCTTCCATTTCCTTATCCTCCTTCCATAATCTACTCCATGTAACCCACAAACTTATATCGACCTCGTTGCTTGTCATTCAGGTTCCACCAGAAGGTTGGGAGTATGATGTCGCTAGAATGCCTCCGCAGAGTAGCATGTTCATTCTCTCACCATTTCTGTCTGCCTATTTGCTGAGCAATAGTTCGTGCCAAAGTAGTATGACAGTAAACCACACATACAAGCTCAGATTACCGTGGTAAAATAAACCCTTGGTGAGTATCAGAGATATTATTACACCGAATTATAGACACATGTTAAGTGCCATTGTCTCTGAGAGGAAAATGACAATGAAACTTGGCTGTTTTACACTGGAGTTTTTTAAAGCTATACACACTAGCAATTGATTACATCACTTATGGAACTATTCAACTAAGCTGTTAATTCCTAAGAGATAATCGAAGCAAGCGTACAGTGAAAAACGACACCCAACTGAAAGCTGAATATCGTAGGTAGTTTCAAGTCAGAGAGGAGAAACCTTCACATGTAGAGTTACAAATCTCCTTTCCTATTGTATAACATTTTTTGCTTAACCAATTTACCTATATACGGAATACTTTAAATTGACTTTGATGAGAATCGAGCAAATTTCAGAAGTGAAACACAGCCATGGGGAAATTTTCTATACATTTGTATCCATTCTTCATATACGGACGTAATGCATATCTACTTTTCTTTAGCTTGTACTTCAACCTTCAGTCGCTATTATTAAAAAGAATACAGATTCGTTGATGCTGGTGAAATAGACTTTTACTAGCAAACAGTAAAAATGTGACCCTTAAGGGGCAAAGTTAAACAATGGCGTCCCAAGGATGCAAACACACGAGTAACCTTCAGCCGACCAATCATAAAAATGAGGAATGTTTGCACAAACAATGATGTATATTGACAAGAAAATACTTGAAAACACATTAAACAGGGTATCTTTCTCTGATATGACTTAAAAATATTTCCTAGTTATAATGAGGAGTATCAGTTGCTAAAGTAGACTAGTTTCTGTACATGTTTTCACCAAGATGACTACAGATAAACTGTTTTTGTGAATCGTTTATCTTTCTCATCCTGCTGTGCAATCTTCCTCAAAACCTCTCAGTTGAATTTCTATGGTTTTCAGGAAGACGATCGACGACTACTTACCAGGAAAATGTGCATGAGAAAACAAATTAAAATAAATGTCATCAACTCTAAATCTATCCATAATCGTAACCCTAACCCTAATTACAACCCTTATCCTAACCGTAGACCTAACCCTAATACTAATTATAAACCTGATCCTAATCCTAATGAGCCATTAACACATTGTTCAAATAATACTAAAAAACGTGATCTGCGTGAAATTTGCTCCTAAGCTAGTAAATAGCGTTGATACTTCAGCTATGATAATGACAGATGCCGTTAGCCAACGGCAGCGTTCGCACTTCTGGGACGCTATTGTTCAACTTCGTCCCTTCAGGTAATATGTTTTTTATTTATATGAGAGTAGATATAGAAAAAGACATGATGAGACGTATTCTTCCGATTGATACGACTAGTGTGATGTAACCACTTTAATGGTTGCATTTTAATCAATACTGCGCATACTGTCACGAAACATTCACAATTGTTGCACAGAAAGTGTTACTCACTGAACTGGACGCTTGACTAGTAATCCTAGCTTGAGCTACTAGTCTTGATTTATTTTTATGTCATGGTAGCTGAATTATTATTATTTCCTTTAATTCGTAGAGGAACATAGGGCTTCGGCTGCATGTCTCCATTGCGTTCGGTTCTGTGCTAAAGTTTTCGCTTGGCTCCACGTCTGTCCACACACTTTCATCTCCTCTTCACATGACCTCCTCCAAGTCACCCTTGCACTGACGACCAACTCACCTCTTCCCTTTCGTTAGGTTCCACTCGAGCTATGGCTTGTCTAGTGATGTTACTTGAGGGTTTCCTCAGAGTATGGCCAATCCATCTCCATTTCTTCCTGCTTATTTGTTTCACAATCGGTTCCTGCTGGTTCGCTCCCAGAGATCTCTATTGCTGATCTCTTCTGGCCATCTGATCTTGAGTATTGAGCGAAGACAACTGTTAATGAAGGTCTGTAGTTTGTTTGAGATGCTCTTTATGACGCGCAGTGCAAGTCTCTGATCCGTATAGTAGCACTGACTGACTTCGCATTGGAGTTGAAAATCCGGATCTTATTTTTGATGCTGAGAGTTGTTGACCTCCACACAGACTTGAGAGTAATGAAAGCTTGTGTTGCTTTCTCGATCCTTGCTTTGATATCTTCGTCAGTTCCGTCCGCCTGTAGTTGAGACGATGCTTCTCAGGTAGGTAGGTCAAGGAGGTTGTTTCTTTCAGGTTTCTCCCATTTATGCTGAAAAGCTTATTTTATTCAGGTGCTTTCGCGTATCCTTACAGTATACCAGATAAATTTAGCAGTTACACATTTATCATGAAAGAATGATGAAATAAAAGGACTCACACGGAAACTTCACAGTGTTGACTGTGCATAAATAAATCCGAGTGGTAAACTTTTATAAGATGACAATTAAACATTTTCAACTCAAGGCGAATACGCTTCAGTAAAAGAAATCTAAATGAGTGAAATATTCATCCCGTTTCCTTAAAGATTTCTGAATCCTGATAGTCAAGTTGTTTCTGTCAAGTACAACGCTATAATGTCTCGAAGTTAATCACAGGCTTCCGTTAACAAAAGCTGTCTTCATTCCACTCTGAAGATCAGATAACCAGAAATGATAATAAACAAGGAACTCTGGTGAAGAATCAACCAAGAACCTGTTGCCCAACAAACATACTGAAGGAAACGGAGAAGGATAAGACATAGGCTGTGGAGACGTTCAAAAGACATCACACATCAGGCAATTGAGTAGTACTTGAATGTGAAACAACGAATAGTGCATAGATGTCGTGAGGAAGAAATGAAAGCTAATAGGCTGAAGTTGTGTCAGAGAGAAGACACTGCTAAAAACAGAGTGAAATGGCGATGTGCTGCTGAAGCCCTATATGTATACACCACTCAGAACTCATGTGTGCGTCAGTATCACAGCGGTAGAATGCTCGCCAACTACGCTTGTGGTCCAGGGTTCGATTCCCGATCGACTCACTCCTAAACCTCGGTTAGGAGTGAGACTAGCGATTCCACCCCGTAAAAATGAAAACCTTACTACCGAAACTTCAAACCTCTAGCTTTAAGCCCTATGTTCCAGTGGGAATGCAAAGGAATAAAATAAATGAATAATAATTGATAAGACTCAGAACCCAAGGGGTAGATAATAATAATAATAATAATAATATGTAACAGGGGTCAGGCAGCTGTATCTCTTGAGCTTCACAATCACACTGTCATGTTAACAGACTTATTTATCGTCAGAGAATTTGTTTATTTGAATTACGCCGAGAAGGCGAATACACTTTCATACTTATCAACAGAAACGAGACGTTAGTGAATATTGTTAATCACTGTCAGATTTTGTTAGAGAAAATTAATCAGAATTCAAGTGTTGGTTTGTATTGGCAAAAGTTAGGATTCATGGGCCACTGGATCGGAGCCCAGTGGCTTATTGGTATACGAGCTAGCTCGCCTTGTAACCAGAAGGTCCTGGATTCGAACCCTGGCAGTGGGGTGGGTGCATACTGCCGAAGAGCCCCAAACCAGGACGAAACAGCTGTCAAGTAATCCCAGATTTACCAGTGGTTCTCTAACCAGTGTCAGCTCATGATGAAATCGTGTAACCAAAATTAATCAGTATTGTGGGACAATAAAGTTTTCAAGTATTGGTTTTTGTAGGGATTTTGTCTGATTGGTCGGAGGGTTTCATCGTGAGCTGATATTAGTTAGAGAACCATTGGAAAACTTGCCAGGGTGTATTGGACCAGAGTTCGAACTATACTCGGTGCATACTGATAAAGAGTCCCAAACTAGGGCGAAACAGCTGTACAGTACTCCTTGTAAGTTTTCCAGTGCTTCTCTAACTGATGTCAGCTCATGATAATAACGTGTGTATCAATTTTAAAGATAAACAAATTCATAAAAACAGTCAACCTACTCCAAAATTGCTAGCACTGAAACGTTCACTGGCTGTTTGACTGTTTGATGATGTTGTATGCGCATAAAAGGCATTTATGTTGGCTAACAGAACAGATAATTGAGCAGGAACACCAGGACAATTATACTTGGCTGTTAAACAGGCAAAATGTCTACAAGAAATGTGAATAATAAGCATATTAATTAATTATTATTATAAGAAACATTGGCATAATTGATTACTGTTCTCATTGGGTTCTTAATCCTCCTCTTAACAACCAAAAATGTAGTCAGTAAGAAGCCTATTTTCATCAAACTTGACTACAAGGGCGACGACATTATGAGAATGATAAATAAAAGATTAAGCGCAGCCCTGTCTAGGAAGCATCCTGCAGCGTTATTAGTCTCTCTATCCCGAACAACTTCTTCACTGGTGCAGTCAAAGATTGACAAGTACCCCTCACATATTACCTCCAGCTGTGTATACCAATTCACATGTATCTGTGCTAGCAGTTGCATTGGAAGAACAGAGAGGAAGGCCTACGTCAGATTCTGCGAACATGTACCAAGGAGCCTCTGGTTTAAGGGACCGAATTATTTAAGCTCTTCAATCGCCAAACATCTGATTGACACAGGACACCGAGTAGATGTGCTGGAATCATTCAAAATAACTAACAGACAAAATACTCCAAGTCTTCTCAGGTTTGCTGAAGCTAGAGCAATAAAACGATTGAAGCCTGACTTATGTGTTCAAAAAAGAAACCGTTGTTGGACTTCAATTACCCTAATAACTTACCTCTTTCCTTTATGTTTCGCTTGACTTTCTTAAGAGATAATTTTTCTTGATGTACTGAGTTCTGCTCACTGTATTACATCATCAACTTCTCATCTGACCTCATGTGCACCGTAATTTTAAAATTTTCATCCTCTCTTATCTAATTACGTAACTGTTGCTAATTGTCTTCTGTTACCACCTTAACAACACAACTGTTAACCAATTTTTTCAAGAAACTTCTCTCTACCAAGATATATATATGTCGTGACACTTTAGACACCCTGTAAATCTCAATGCCTTATTTTACTATGACGCTCTGACACTATGCTTACTAATGGACAAAGGTTTGTTAAAATTGTACACTTTCTATTTTTAATTAAAAAAGTTCAGGTTGTACGCAGCTGATGGGAATCAACGAAATAAAATGGATCCAGATTATTCTGTGCCAATGTTTCTTCTTTCTTTGTTCAAAAAATATAGTATTGATACTTTCGATAAATAAGAAAAAATTATGCTTCGTAGATTCGAGCGAGTTGAATAACTTGAAATAAACATTTTCAGAAGGCCAAGAAATTCTGACAGATACCGAGATTACCATTTAGCATATCCTGTTGCCACCAAAGAAACTGTGTCCAAGAATCTGATTAACAGAGCCTAACGTCTAGTTATTGCGGGGGAAGAGATCAACAGCGAAATAAAATTGCTGCTATTAGAACGTCATTTTGGACAGGTATTTTAGCAGTGAAAATATAAAGTTTCGTACAGCTTGAAATTAACGCTGAAGATGATGTCTAGGAAGACAATGAAACCGTCATAATTAAACTATTCAGCTCAGAAGACGCAAGTACGTTAGACTCATCCTTCATAATTTCGAAATGTGATATTCATCATAAAACTGTGTTTTAGATGGAAAACTGATGAGAAAGAATCTCTAACACAGTGTAACCAGTTAATATGTCAGGTGGAGTCATAAACTACCGTGTAACATGAACTTACAGAATTCACGAAAAAAGCAGGTTACTGTATTTTAAACTAACTGATACCGAACTGGTAGTGTGTTAAACTCGAGAGACTTCATCGTTATAGGTCCACGTTGAAGAAACTGTCTACTGCTCTTGGTAGTTAGTTCATAAAGTAAGCAAGCATAAAATCAATCGGACATCAAACTCAGTGTAAATGTGTAATGATCTGTGTTTGTAACTTCATGTTCCAGACTTAGGAAAATCAAATCAAAACACAAAATTTACAGACTTTCTCTATTGGGTTAACTTTCAGCGGTTAAGTCATTCAGTGTGTATCCTACCAGATTAGAAATAAACCCAAGGCATACACAACATTAGAAGTGAACAGGTTCACTTGAATTCTGTAAAGAATTAAAGAGATTTTGAGGGAAGTAGAACAAATGCCTTATGGGTAAAGTAATAAGGGAATAATAATTCTATAATCTGATCAGTGATAATCCCATCTCAACAAATGATAGTTCTCAAATAATAATGAGAGTTATTCATTTAAATAAAAAACAGAAAAATAGAAAAAAACCCTGGAAAGATGGATACCAGCTGTTTATTGAAAGATTCTATTCTACCAGAATTTTTCAATAAGAAAGAGGAGACAACAACCAATAACACAGCACAACTTACGTCATAGCCTGAAAAATTGGTTCAATTCCATAGCGAATAGCGAATTCATCAACAATTTCCTGTCCTAATGGATTAAAGTATACCTTCCATGCTTCGCTGCCCTGATATTATTTTGAATAAAGAAATAAAATAAAATAAAATAGAGAGAAAAGAAGGACATCTTTATTGAAGGATGTTTAGTAAAAAAAAATAAAATAATTACATAAAGAAATCACTAAATTCTGCGTGGACAATGATTAATAGTAACAAATTAAACTGTGAATAGTGTTAAGTCGTGACCAGTAGGGTGCAGCACGTCGGGTGTGAGGACAAATACTCGCCGAAGACATTGGCCAGCTGTCGCGCTATATCGTGAATTGGCAGAAGTTAGAATTCATGGACTGGCCATTGGATCGGGTCCCAGTGGCTATACGAGCTCGCCTTGTAACCGGAAAGTCCTGGGTTCGAACCACTGTGGTAGGTGCGTACTGCTGGAGTGTCCCAAACTAGGACGAAGCAGCCGTGCAGTATTCTCAGGTTTTCCAGTCGTTCTCCAACCAATGTCAGCTCATGATGAAATCCTGTAATGAACAGTGTTAAGATTGACACAATCTGCTGTTGACAGTGTACTCAATGAAATACGAGTCTACTGAAACAGCTTAACGAGCAAAATAAAAGATAAATGTACTTACACTGAGTAGAATTTCGGTGTTGAAGTATTGATTTTGCAGGGATTTGATTAATCGCCAACTGACATCATTTAGGAGAGCCATTTGATCACACCAAAAACTACTGGACAGATATATTTTGTCATAGTTTGAGACAGTTCAGAGTAAGCACCTGTGGCTCCATCGAGAATCGAGGGTGTCTAACAATTAATCAGTATGTTCAGAAGGTTCCGTCACTAACCCACATCAGGTAGAGAACCATTATCAATCAAGCAGCAATAGACAGCTGTTTCATCCTAATGTGGAGCCCCAAAGGAAAGTCTACCAGTGACCTAACCAATGAAAACCGTACGAACCAGTACTTGAAAACTAGTTATATGAAACAAAAGGGCTTGAATCCCCTTTAGTAATCGTGAATTAGAATTACGTGAAATACATATCGAGTCATGAGGAAAATAAAAGAAAATTCAGTGAAGAAAATTTCCTTTATCGACAAAATCATCACCCAGAGGCTGTAAAGGAAATCAATATGAAATGGTCAACACACGAATTTTCCTAGTTGGGTACCTTTGAGAAGAAAGAAAAATCCGATCCACCTCTTATTCTCAAGAATAAAAAGGATATGTGCCAGTGATTCAGTCGATGATGAACTGTAGCAACTCAGAAGAGTCCTCATGGAAACTGGATCTCCTGCAAGATTCATTGGGAAAAACATGAGGGTAAAGCAAGAGCCTGAAAGAACCCAGACGGTGCAGAAGAAACTGCTATTTTTTGAACGTTGAATTTAAAGGTGATACCACGAATAAGATTCTGAAGAGCCGCTTATCCAGATCACTGAGAAAAGCCTTCTTTGCGGCTTAGTTACGGATCACTTCCTACAGTCGGCAGATGATCAATTAATGTGTTAAGGATAAATTGCCGCTTTCAGCCACTTCGATTTGTGTCTACAAATTCACATGCTCCTGGGGAGGTAGTTATATTGGCTGCACAAAGCGCACACTTTCTAAACTCATCTCTGAACATTATCCGTCATGGTTAGCAAAAGGACAATGCAAGGCAGTTACTAGCATAATTCTCGAGCACTTGGTGAACTCAAGCCACGTAGCTCCACCAGAGTCGTCTTTCAAGATAGTCTACAAGGTGGAACCAAATGGTACAAAGGATGTTAAGTTTCCGCATTTATAAATGGCAGAGGCGTCAATACAACCGCTAACTCTGTATACAGAAAAAGTTTGTCCAGTCTCTTATTCTACCATGGTCTTAACCTCTTCATTAAATGTTCCTTGTAAATTTTTACTTTTATTTCTAATGACTAGTTTTCTTTTACTTTTATTATTTAATTAATTCACTATGATCACTTTTATATGTTCCATTGTTTTTTACATTTTCTCACCCTTTTCACACCTACTAGATGGACGCTTAACTACCTTTATTCTCACTCAATGACAATTAAAACCTTATCAAATTTCTAACGCTTTCTTTCTTTTGTGCCGTTGATTAATTTAAAACTTTTATTTTTTACTTTTAAAGCCACTTCTGAGTAATTATATCAGTTATGTCACCCCCCCTCCTATTACTCAATAATGGACTAGTATACATTTTCGGTAAATATAAATGCTACTTACTGTCCAGGAAGATAATTCCGCCGATAAAGAAAATTTTCTCCGCTGGATGGTCTTTTATCTTTCTTAATAACGTGAAATAATTGGGAAACAATCATTGATATTAATTTTATCACTAGAGTTTGATAAAATATTCTGCGGTAGATGATGTTTGATTCTCATTGAGATCAAGTGAATTTACATATTCTATGTGATCTGATAACCGCTTGGGAATTTGTTCCTCACCGCCGACAGTATAGTACTTTATTGATTTCTTCTTAGTTATTCATATCCTCCAGTGTGAAATAAACTTAATGGAATTTCTTTCTTCATTAATGGGGATAGGGATAACAAATATTCATTTGAGCAGTCGGTTGTACAATTTGATTATATTAGAAAATAGGGAATAGTAAAAAAGACAGTTGCAGTGAAGACGAAGTCATCAACTAGGCTGTAAATTCGTGTATTTATCCAGGTGAGTATAGACAAGACGGAGGTTATGAAAATAACCAACCAACAACAACAGCAGCAGCAACATCCAGCGCCAATCACCATCAACGGGAGGGATTTGAAAGAGGTTACTTCATTCACTCATCTAGGGAGCATTGTCTCAACTACAGGCACAACGAACGGACGAGGATGTCAAATCGAGAATCGGGAAGGCGAGAAACACATTCATCAACCTGAAACCAATCTGGAAATCTTCGTCACTCAGCCTGCATCAACAACAAAATTCGGATTTTCAATACAAACGTCAAGTCAGTCAGTTCTGCTATACGTACGGATCAGAAACTTGGCGGATCACAAAGAATATTTCCAACAGCCTGTTGCAGACCTTTATCAACAACTGTCTTCGCTGGCTCTATACTGAAGATCAGATGGCCGCCGGAAAGAATCACCGACAAGAGACTATGGGAATGAACAAAACAAGAATCAATCGCCCAAGAAATATGCAGGAGAAAGTGGAGATGGATTGGACACTCGCTGAGGAGGCCGCTGGGTGATATCACGCGTCAGGCCATTGCTCGAGTGGAATCCGAAAGGGAAGCGGCGAGTGGGACGTCCAAGGGTGACATGGAGGAGATCGTGTGAAGAGGAACTGAAACAGTATGGACTAACATGGATGCAAGTGAAAAGTACAGCAGAAGGCGGAAGCAAGTGGAGACGTGTAGTTGAAGCCCTGTGTTCCACTAGGAACCCAAGGGAACAATAATAATAACAATAATAATAATTGGGTGGGAAAGTTCCAGCATAATTTCCAGTTAAAGGTCAAATTAATAGAATTACAATTACGAATTAAAATATGCACAACCCTTGTCCCTGTCATGGCCATCATAAACAGGTAATTCTTCTAATAGTGACTATCCCATTACCTTTTTTATCCAAACTTCCTGTTTATTCACGTTATTTTAAGTTTTTCTTAATCCCTATTTACACTACCATATTTTCATATCCGAACTTCCTATCTATTTTGTTATTTTATTATTTCTACTCATTTAGTCCCTGATTGCATAAACAATTATTCGTCACATTTGTTATGTTCCCACTAGATTTTTTATCCAAACATCCTGTCTATTGTTGTTATTTCTGCATCTCTAACCCTTAATTACACAATATGTCAATCTTCCCAATAATTACGATGCTACTTTGTTTGAACTTTATCTGTCCCCCTGTTTATTATGGTATTTTAATTCCTAATTGTAATTCTATTAATTTGACCCTTGACCGGAAATTATTCTGGAACTTTCCTACCCATTTGTTAAAAATACACGAATGTACAGGCTAGTTGACGGTGGCTTCGTCGAAAAGAAAATTGTCTTCGCTGCAACTGTCTTTTTTTACTATTCCTTATGATCAAATCTTTATCTTTGAAAATAGTTTGATAAAGTTGATTTTCTGCGGTACAGTGATTGTCTTGTCAGAAAACCACTCATAGCCTACACAATCGAATATTTACGGCTTGAAGTCATCAGTTAAGGAATTGTTCATGTAAATTTTTCGTTAACTAAGAATATCATTCTCGACTGGAAACTAGTCAGTAATTAGTGTGATGTGTCTAGTCCTATCTCTGATGCAAACTGAATTCTCTCAGTCAACTTCGCAATGTGGCCACCATTCTAGGTGATTCACCATCATAGAGCACTGTGAATTGTTTGTATAAGATGGTTGGAGACAATCGGCCACAAGAAGCCTTGCTCGACCTAGGTTTCGTGTTTGTTGACACTAACCAGTCAGCAAAGTGTATCTGCAATCACCTCGAAGGAACTCATGGCTCTTCTGAGATTCGATCTCGTGTCTCCCAGTGTCACCTGTAGTCAGAGACGTTACCAATGAACTATTCGGGTTGGTGACTGACCACCTGTAGGACTGTATTGGATATTTTCGATTGGACACTAGTCAGTCGCGAGGCGGAACAGTTCAGTGGTAACGTGTCTGATTACAGGCAGCACTGGGTGACGCAGGTTCGAATCTCAGAGAGGATATGAGTTCCTTCAAGTTAGCAGATATGCCTTGCTGACTGGTGAGTGCCAACTAGGACGAAACCTATGTGGTTCAAAGCTTCCTGTAGCCGATTACCTCCAACCATCTAATGCCAATGTCATTCTCGCGGCATAATAATCTCTTCTGAGTGCTTTATTCAAATACACCCAAGAGATTGACTGTTTTTAGGTTGAGAAGAATTAAAAAAATTTAGAAACTTAAATGCATTGATGATGCAGTCGTCGAATACTCGTCAACCATGCACCTCGTTCAGGTTCAATTTCCCACTGCTTAAACTTCAAAGCCTAAAATTGAAGCCTTATGCTTCACTCGGAATACAAAGAAATAAATATACATATATGGCTATTGCAT